AAAATGGAGTAGTCTTATGTGTGAATTCATCGTGATCTTTACTTGTATAGGGTTGTGCCTTGTATGTGGAGAAGAAACTTAAGTCAATTTACTCTTAAAAGTGGAAATATTGATGTTCATTTGTTAGTATATGTTTCCTAATTTATTACAAACTCTTTGCTGATAGCACATTAAATTGAAATTGAAGTGAAAAGCCAAAAATAAATCTCATTCGTTTTATTACAAACTGTTTTTCTTGTTTCCTATAAACACATCAGATCATAACTATACAGAAGAAGAGTGCAAGTTTCTTTTAGATCTAAATATATTATTGGTTGTCTAACAAATCGAATGAGTGACATAAGTTTTCGGACAAAAATATTTCATTCTTCGTACATTTATTTATTCACGGCGAATATTAATGGACTATATTTATTTATTTTTACCAGTTAATATAAATATGATTAAGCGCTTTAGAATAGGTTCATTTTTGTTGGTATGCTTTATCTAGTATGCAAATGGCGGCTTACTTCCAATAAAAGTTTCGACACTAGAATGCTCTAGAGTTCCACCTATAATTTTTAGTTATCGGAATTATTTTAATCGCTTTAACCGGCTGCTTTCTTTCTTTATCATTTCTTCTGAGGGTATGTAACTTATTATAAAGCGATTTCTTAGTAGCAGATTTTCTCCGAAATTTTCTAATAATAATCTTAGAACATCATAATTTTCTGAAGCAACCTTGTAGCCTCTTACTGCTTGCAATGCATTCTTTTTGAGACAGGAGACTAGATAATTCAATTTTCGAATACCTGGTTTCGTTTATGGATGTACCGCAACATTTAAGTTATTGTAAAACTTCTAATTTTTTGGGTCATCGCTAAATGTTGGTAGTGACGTTGAGGTAAATTTGCTCTCTGAACCATTTGGAATGACTCCTTTTATTCAGTTAGTTGTTGATTCTTGTGATCACGATTTAGACAATCAAGTACTAGTTTGAAGTCTTTTTTAAAAGTCTCCCTTCCCTTATAGATATCTAAGTTATAGTAATTTCTTTATTGTCATTAATTAATTCTAAAACATCTTTATCATTATTGACCATTCCCACATATAGCTTCTTCCCTCTTTTTTGAGGGGCTTTGATTCACTTGATAATAAAGAAATGAAGCTGCCATTTTCCCGGCTCGTGGCACCAAATTTTCATCGTGAAAGTTGCGTTTTGTTGGAGAAGTCCTCGTTGTTTTGCTGACTGGTAATGAAGATTGATTGTGCAGAAGGACTTGCCGAGTTTGGAACATTTATTTTTTCATTAGGTAATAAATATGTATTAGCGAATAATACAGTTAGAGTCGGTTACTTAGGCTGATTTGGAAGTTCTTGTATAAATACTTGGATTTTGAACCAAAGTTTGGTAGTCCTTATAGAAATATTTGTAGGGTAGCGTACTGTTAATCGAGAAACGGTGATGACGGAACTGAAGTGACTGACTCTCTTATTTATATAGTAGGAGTGGTTTACAATACTACCATAAAGCACATCGTACCCTTTAATAGACCGGAAGAAGGTTACAATAGAGGAGCTTTGCTGGCTGCAGTAATTCGGTATGAGAATATGAGTATGACTGATACATTGGAATATGTTCAAAAAAGAACGCTGTCAGCACTGCACAGACCTTTGTGTCCACAATCCAAACACTGCAGTTAAAATAGAATAAAAAACAATGGCAGATAGAACTTTAAACATTGTGAATAAATCCGACACCAATTTAGGAGATGAAAGTTGGGCTAGTGATCCACTACCTTAAGACCGGAACATTTGTATTATTTTTATGTTATTTTTAGATATAATGAATCATTTATCTAAGAAATATTCAAACTAAACAACTTTTATAGACTATATTCATATTGTTAATATATCTACATCGAAATATTTGCACTACAAAACGTTTCGTTTTGATAAAAATACTTTGGATTTTCCCAACAGGGATTGGATTTTTCCTTTGAACGACTTATAGTGTAGAAATGAGGAGAAGCTGACTTGTTTCATGCAATCGTAACGCCGTAAGAATTGCACAATTTCTTCCAAATCCATGTTTTTCTTCTCAATTGTTTAGGAGTTGTGGGACTTTATGAAAGCTTTAATTCAAAGGATATAAAGTGAAGAGGCAAACAATAAATTTAATGAAAGTTAATCAAACAAAAAGTAATGAAATCTTCTATGCCAAACTCTGAAAAGCACAATTCCTAATAAATTACGTATGAAAAGAAATAAAAACAAACAAATAAAAGATAAAAGCACAAGCATTCCGTTAACAATAAATCTTTGGAAGCGGTGATTAATGTTCTATCACCACTTGATACTTACTACTAACACCTGTCTATCATTTAAGCAAATGAACGCGAATCTACATCCTACAATATTTAAATGTGATAAAATGGTCTATTTGAATGATCAAGAAAGTGAATAACATAAAACGTTCAGATTCCTATCCCTGACGCAACAGTTGCGGCACTGTTCAAACAAACAGAATTACAGAACAGAGGAAGCAAAATATTCTGTTTGTTGTTTCGTGTTCCGTTGAACTGTCAAGTGTCCGTCAGTGTTATGAAGATGGATCACTAATACCTATAAAATATTTAAACGTTATTCATAAATCCGTTCCAAGAAAATCCATGACAAGCCGCTTTAAAAAAAACAATGGAAGTACTTAGCAAGGCAAGCATGTATTGAAGATTCTAAATAAACACCAAGTTAACATGATTCACTATTCCGAACGTGGAAGTCTAGCGACTTAGTAAGACCGATTTAATCTTTTATAATAATATAAATCTCTTCCCCTCCTAATGCTTCTCACACTAAGACAAATTTAGACTAAGAAAGACAAAGAACTTTTTATATAATGCAACAGGTCAGTGTTTCAGTTTTGTTTTCGCATTATATTGGTGTGTGTTCCGTCAAATCAAGTCATGAAAGAAACAAATGGAAAAGTGGCTATTGTGAAAACAATATCGTTGCGAATCAATAATTCAAACACGATTCCAAAACAATGATGGAAAGTAGGAAGAAAAGGTATCAACATTTGTTCATTTGAAGTTTTCGTGAGTGTGTCCATTTTTATCTGGCACTTCCTTATCTTCAATTTTTACCTGTTTTCCTTTTCACACTTTTCTCTCTGTGCTTTTCAGGAAAATTAAAGGCAAGGAAATGTTTTTCTGACAAGCAAAGAAGGAAAGAATGAAAAAAAGATAAAAATTAAAAATAAGGAAGTATTAAATAAAAATGGGCACAATCATAACAACATCAAATGAATAAATGCTCTTTAAAGTGAGATGTGCTTTCGATTTAATTAGCAGACTTCATTTTTCGCAGGAATGCATCGTTGAAAGCTGTTTCTAGTTAAAAGCTAATTCTAATTCTCTTTAGTCATTTGAAAAGAAAATGCTTTCAAAGTTGTGGAAACCATGGTTTTATTGTCTTGCCACACACGGTTTACTTTTTACTAGACCAGTTTGGCACTACTAGAATCTTTTAAATCATGCACAAACATAACTACCACCCTAATTAAGCTTCGCAGTTAATAACAAAGCATCAAACAAAACTGACCAGTAATAACTTACTGAACTTCAGATTAAGAGCTTCACATATACTGAGTAATTCTTTGGGTCGATATCTCTGCATAGCTACTCTGATGTTTGGATTTGACACAACTTTCGTTATAACAGCATAAATATTGTTGCTAGTGGAGTTCTGCAGATAGTTTTATAGGCTTATTACATAGTACAATGGAAACGGAAGTTTCTTTTAACAGAAAAGATCGAAGTCTGAAATTCATATAGGTAACTCTTTTTTTGTGGGAGACTGGAAGGATATAAATTTTCTATTTCGACTTCTGAGAAATTTATATAGATTTCTTTTTCCTTTATTGCCCTCACTGTAAAAACTTTAATACTCGGTGCTTGTTTTCTTCCAAATTCTCGTAAAAAAGATGATCGTCATCCTCAGTATTATCAGAACAATAATCTCCGCTGTCACTGCGATGAACTTCATGTTCCTTGTTAAAACGATTTTCTCGACTATTGCAAATCCTATGCTTTTGAAAGATCTGAAAAAATGATCAAGGTGTACTTTTGTATGAGGAGTGAAAATTTTGTAATTAGTAAACTTATGAAATAAGCTATTATTACTGGAAATACATACGGCATCAAGCTGTACGTTGAGACTACGTTCTTCAATATATTTTGTAAGCATCCAGTTGTACTCGACAGTAAGCCGATATTTTGTTGGTTTTCTGAAACCAAAGAAAAAGAATTGTTGAGAAGCTAGATACTTTAACTTTCGATTGTTGATAAATCGTTCGAAATAATTTTTTTGATGTAAGTTAAAAATGAATTGAGAACCTCGCTACTAACGCTACGTAATCTTGCTTCGGTTTGTATCTTTCGTGGCAGACAGCTGCAACTCTTCCTAATTCTAGCGACCAAACCCAACTACCATATCCCTCTTGTTTTTTTCCTTGAAAACGTATATTCGTTTTAAGCTGAAATAAGCTATTCCGCAAACTGCTAAGTTTATTAGTAAATTGTATTACCTTAGTGTATTGATAAAAACTTAGAGAAACAGACATAAAAACAACGCAAAAAGCTCCTAATTCATCAGAAATTATGCCACAACTATAAGTTGCAATTATCGTTTTAATGAATGATATATTTAGGGAAAATAAATGGAATACTTATAGAAAAACATTAAAAAAGTATAAAGGAAGACTTGGCAAGTTTTGAAAAGTTTTTTTTACTTACAAGAACGAGATCCTTGTAAACGTATGTCGGCAAAACTTCATTGCACTGTCGTGCAATCTGATAGACGTTTTGTCCAGCATTATATAGAATTACCCATGAACCCAACTGTAGCACCTCTGATAAAGCGTCATTCTCTAATTCGATCTGAAGTTGCTCTTATTCAAGGCAAAATTAAATAAAATAATATTATGAAATATGCAGACTGTCAAGCATTCGTTTTATTTCCACTAAAAGTTTCGACTGGAAACCTGTCTTTTTTGGGTAACTAAGTATCATGAAATTTATTCCGATTTATATTATTCATTAATTGATCAATTCCATACATTCAAATTAAATTCACTGGAAGTAACAGCTAAACTTGCCTCAAAAGAATTCACTTCAACCGCTGGTGAAACTATGGAAATGGTAAGCCAGTTATTCTCCAGCTTGACAATCACTCCTTTTAGTTCGAATGAGGCTCTGAAATTCAGTACCGAAATATAAGTAGCATCCCAAATCTTATCTGTGATATTCTACCGTTATTTTAGAAGCAGTAATCCACACTTTGATAACTGGAGTTTCTCTGCCACATTCATGATTATTGTATGTACACTGGAAAGATATAAAGTATTGCCCACATTTGCTCTAACTTCAAACCAAACAGATCTGCTTTAGCAGAGATGGTTGGGAGGCTGAAAAAGGAACAACCATAATAAAATGTGATAAACTTACATCGATATAAAAAAAAGACTTCAACCATGAGAAAAAAACTGCAAAAATTAAAGAAAAAGTGTATTATCTACGTATTATTTTTCTTTTAAATTCTTTCCTGGCTGTATAAAGCTTGTTGATTTCTACTTTAAAGAACATTACTAAGCTTGGATTTTCCGAATGCAAAAGTAAATAAAAGCTAAGTATACCTGGATACCAAGACCAATACTTGATAATGCTTGCCACAAATGTTTTATCCCATTACACTGAGGAAGGATACATCATCCAAACATTTGTAAACATATCAATCGGAGGATGTCGAAATCGATTACTCTCTATAACATCTTACACCTCATATCACTGATAATACACGGTACTATTTCCATCAACTGCTATTATAAACTACCCCGCCAAAATACTAAACAAAAGTATATACCAAACCCAGTATTTCGAAGCAAAGACTAGATTGAGGGATAGCAGAACAGGAACTCACACACACCATCCCAAAATATATTACGTCACTGTATAAAAAAAAATCTGTAAAAAAAAACCGAATTTAAATCTCATACTTCAGCTTTTGGCTCTCTCAAAGGGAATGATTCCCGTACTCACCGTACTTTTTTTCGAGAAAAATCCAAAAAAAATCAAATTTTCGAGAAAATTAAAAAACAAAAAGATTCTGTTGTTTTTCTAAATCCAACAGCGAAAAAAAGTAAAACGTTTTCTTTTTCAAAATTTTTTTTTAAAATCGATTTACTCCTGGGAGAAGAAGAAATGACGAGAAAAAAAGAACGAAATAGCAGAAGAAACCGAACTATATAATGCCGATTAACGAACAAATGGAGAAAACAACGTTCTTAACGTTTTTTCAAGCATTCTAAACATGATACACATTTCTAAATTTCATGTAATACTAAGAAAACTAACTTTCAGTTTGTTATCCTAATTGCCAGTGAGACATTGCTACAAAAAAGCACAATGAAATAAGTCACTACTAAGAATACCTAAAGAAACATCTTTAGAAAATAAATATGAATCTAAATACCAGCAGGAAACTCGGTAAGTGAAACACAAGAATTATACGAATACTAAATATTTCGATAAGAAAGCAAAATAAATAACATATGTTCAGAATATCTTTTTACTTTAAAGGCGCAACTGAAACGACTTTCTAAAAATATAAATTACAAAAATATTTATAAGTTAAAAACAAATAATGGAACTTTAGGACTTGAGTTTGCAACACAAGAAAATATCAAAATTCATAGTGGCAAGTAGTTATTATCATCGATTGTTATTGCCTTCCCTTGTATCTCACGTTCGTAGAAGCTAATTACCAACTGAAAAATAATTTATTGTTATCACAGATTAATTAAATTAAGTATACTGACTTCATATAATACCAGTACAAGAGATATTCAGAAATCATTAAATTACACATTTTATTTTACCATGAATTCAATATTATCAACAAATCTCATTATGTCTTTTTCCACTTCTATTAGCTGATAAAAATAACTGTTAGGGCAGGATCTGTTCTGCAACTTGGAAAATTCTCTTTAGAAGAGAATGAATCTCGAGAAATTTGAAGAAAATTTCAGTACGAAATCACCTGTGGCCAGTACTTCATACATATTGAACTTGGTACCCTTTCAAACTTTTTCTTATGCCTATATTTAACAATATAGGTAAGTGGGACATCGTCTTCCGGTTGCTGAAACATAGAAATCATTTAAATTCATCATTACTGATAACCAATTCATTTTCCCATTTTATTCTTTCTCTTTTAACCTTACGTACACAGTTTGCGAAAAGGATAAAGAACGACAAACATAATAACGAAGTAAGAATAAGCGCTTCTTCCTGTTTAAAAATACCATCAGAAATCTTGCCCATTTCATTATAGATTTATTTATTTTTTACAAAGAAAGTAATCATTAAACCTACGCAAGCTGCGACGATCACTTCTGGCATCCAACCTTTTTCCATTCCACTTTCACCAGGAGGCGGACGCACTAAAGAAAGTATCATGTAAGTAAAATTTGAAATTGGATGCGAGATATTTTCGGAAACACCTCGATACAGATACTAAACCGTGCTTTCCATAAAGTAAAGGCTAAGTGAAATAAGAAGAAATTGGATGGAACTTGAATAACACGACTTCGCAATTGTCGATTTCCTTCATCATCTTCACTTTCACTTGAATAAGCGCAGTCTTCTGTTTCGCACAAATCTTCAGAAGCTGCATGCTTCAAGGAAATGGTTGAACAAGCGAAGCCAGGTCGAGAAGTTCGAGAAACATGGGATGCAATATAACAGTCAGAGCTTGCAAACATGGGATTGCGACTTCCAGGACAGTTTATTTTGGGTAATGGCTTTCGTGATTTTGATTTAGAATTTGTAATGCCCATCAGGTTTTGCCATAATTCACTTCGTTGCTTTCCCCAAGTTTCTCTGTAGTAAATATAATAGGTTATAACACAGCAAAGGATAACATTTCTAAATACAACATTTTCTAAAACAGTAGCATCCAACATTGGCTTAAGATATATTTTTATGGGGAAGTTAAAAATAAAACCATCTTACTACTAAGGGTTGTTCACATCATGAACAGTGTTTATTTTCCCTGCTATTTATATTTTTTCATACATTCTGAGGCATTCCATGAAAATGATAAAAGATTTTATTTTCACTACCACCACTTCCGGAATCAATCTGATCAGCTATAGCACACCCGTTACAACGGTGTCCCAAGGCAGAAGTAGCTAGTAATTTCAAACCATTATATTGAATATAGGCAGTGATGCTGCGGTGATTTGATTAACTTGGTACTAATAAGGTATATATAAACGCTCTATACTGGACTAAATTTCAAGTGCCTTAAGAAACACAAAAAAATTTCCTCAATTTTCACAAGCTTATCTTCAACGGTGCATCACAGAATTCAGGACCAAAATCTCCAGTTTTGTCTTAGCAAAATGTTAGATATGTTGACTTCATTATATCACAATAGTTACATAATCTTATTTAAGCATTCACCTAATATTCATGTAAGAAAACAGTATTCTATGAAGAGCATGGAGACAAAAAATATCTTACTTTTGTTGAGCATAAAATTCAGCAATTAATTCGTCGCAATCCTGAAATAATTTTCCTTTACAGATATATTTGTCAAAAAATTTGTTATGCCAATCTGCTAACGATATATCGTCATAAATCCGGTAATTGCTGGACGTCATTAAATCTCTCTCCTATGTCGATGAAGCGTACAAAGAAGAAAAAAATCAAATAATTCAGTGAGCTGAGAACAGAATTGTGAAATGTCTCTAAAAAGAAATCAATTATTGCAGTTATGTTTCAGTTTAAGCCATCAACGTTTGGACAATAAAAATAAGAATGATCAATAAACTGCGTCATAAAAACACAAAAATACATAGGAAAGCTGTCAAAAAAAGATAGCTTAAGCATATTGCGGTTTATTTGCTAAGCAGAAAATACCCTTTTAGATATTGCATATCGTTCTCTTTCACTATGGATTTGTGGAGAAATTTATCACAATCTGAGGTACATTATCGCTTTATAACAATTAAGGCAAAATTGTAATTTTGCTGTAATCCTGAAAAGGAAAAGCACTGGTACCAGATTAGTTTCAGGTTCCCACGTGTTCTCCGCGTCACTGTATCCCTTCCATTTCAGTAGATACTCCTTTACTTTCTTCTTCTTATTGTAACGCTCTCCAAGGATCGCCTCCACAATATACTCTCCCTCTCCAACACTCTCATCATCCATTTCTTCGTCACTGGAAACTCGACAAGTTAGTAATAATTACTGCAGGTACAACTACGCTGCCTAAAAGCCAATGCTAATGCCGCTTCTTAAAGTATTTGAATATATAAATAGAATTATGGCTAAAGAAAGGTAGACATATAAATGACGCTGCATGACCCTGAACGTTGCTGGCATACTTGACCTCCCTTGCTCACTTCTCTCCCATATGTCAGGTGCTCGCGATAAGATGCTTCCACTTCTGTGTAAATCAACTCCGTCTCAAATTATGTGTCGGACCCTCAGTTTAGACCTTAGACCGATCTTAACGAAAGCTTGCAAGTAAGTTAAGTAGACTGTAGCGAAGTAGCTCGGCAGAAGAGCAAATCACTAAAAAGCTTAGCGCTTGGAAGCGCTTGAAATAGTTGTATTGGGGTTGAATGGGAATGCATGAGCAGTTGTTCCTTTGCTGAGATTGTTTCACAAGTAGCATTTTTCAACTAACTCGACCTTTGACTTCCTTTCACGTATTCTTATCGAGAAATGTCTTGCAGAGAAGTGATGCCTGAAAATGTATTAATGGAAAATGAAGAAGAGTCGAAAAGGAAGCGTGGTAGAGCGTGTGATCACATTCGGCAAGCATTGAAACGATGTCTTAAGGTAAGTCTACAGGCTTACAGGTCAGAATGGCTAAAAGAGAGATGGAGAGGTTGGATGATTCACAATGTCAAATGACATGGACAGCAATCTTTTTATGCAACTAAAATTGAAGTTAGGAAATGCTGTTTGGACAGTGGGTTATTTGATAAGATTAGAATGCAAATAAGTGAAACTGGATTTGTGATTTGATATCTCGGGATGATAAAATATGGTAGTTTTCATTTCCTCGACCGCTCACAGTTTAGTTTGAGCAATCTGAAATGTATTATGAGTGATAGCCCACAATTTAAGAAAATTTTTTAATGTCCTTGATGAATTGTTTAGATTATGAAACAGAAATGCGATTTGTTTTGCGTGATATTTGTTGCGTCATAGGTCGCTATCTCATGTACTACTGTACATTGCTGATTCAGCTTATGCGTTGAAAATGTACTCAAAAAGGATTTAGCTTAGGCGCTCAAAAGCTTTCATTTCCTCCTATGAAAAGACTTTAATATTTGCTGAGAAAATAACAAAATGTGCAAGCAGTAAGTTGTCAAATAACATAAACCATCCTTTTAACCGCATTTTTTTGAAGACAACTATCAAAGTATTACACCTTTAGCAATCAGACTGTGTTCAAAAAGAGCATCGCCATGCAGTAGATTGCTTGCGCTCACGTGTCGATACTGTTCCGGTACGATGCTTTCAGTTATTGGATACATTCGCTCAATGTAAATTATCTCTGGTTAGTTATCTTCGTATTTCTATATGTTTAAGGGATAAATTGAAAACAGGGAGAAGTTTAGAGACGGAAAATAACCTTCATGGTAAAACGTTGCATTTTCCTTTGTAGATCGATAATCGTTTACGGACACGAGGACGAAAATTAGACATTCCGGATACTCAAATTTCTCCAGAATGAAAAAATGTGCATTTATGGGACAGTGCATGAATGCTTGGTTAGTGCTAGAAAGGAGAACAAATTCAGAGTTTCCCTTCAAGTTGCGAATTTACTTTCCACTGAACATAAAATTTTGTTCACTATATTCGGACGTTTCTGATGTTTGTATTTCTTAGCAGCAATGCACAACTTGATGAATAATTGATGTCTTTCGACTACAACACGAAAACACAATTCATGATTCGCGAAAATACTTGCAGTTCAACGCTTTACGAATGTATTACAGAGGTAATAAGAGCACTAAGAACGAATAAGCGAAGAAGCATGGAATCAATAAAATTCAATTGAAATGTAGAACTGCACGATAAAAGTATTGACGCGTGTTAGTTTTGATGATATACGTTTTTCAAACAGATTGATTTGCAAGTTGTGATGATTTAGAAAGTTAATTTCGCAAGATTTAAACATCGAAATCCCCATATTGGCAAGCAATTCAATTTCCTTTGTAAATTGTGCTCTCTTCACTTGAAAGTCAAAATACTGATAGCAGTTTTATTCTCTTGACGCATACTGTGAAGCCCAGTGAGGCAGACTGATGGACTGATTCACTCCTACAGGATTATGAATCATCTTTTCCATTTGATATTCAACTGAAATTCATCTGACGTGGGCAGGAAGTTAATTAGATACCATAGTTTGCTGTAACAAGCTGGATTTTACAGCCTTCCGCGCTGTTGCATATAATCCTAAAATTATACTTAAAAAAGTTCGCTCGATTTTAGTTATGAAAGAATGAACTATATATGTATATATATATATTCCTTATACAGTCGAACCCGTGTCTATGGTTCAGCTTATTGGACATAGAGCCCTTCTAGATGTATGTCATGCTTTTTCCGTTTAAGCGTCGGATAAGTGCTGTAGAATATTGGCGTTCGTCGGGCATTTGGATATTGTTTTTGTTTCAGTTCTATCTTTACCTTCGACTAATATGATTTTATTAAAATTCTTGGTTCTTAAGCATGATCTGCTTTTACTGCTAATTAAGATATGACTGGGAAATTAAACTCTGAGATGACCAAAGACAGCCTTAGGTATACAGTTTATCCCATACTGACACATGGTTTTAATACCAGCGACCATACATTCAAGTCGGTGTTTTTGCAGAAATCAGGTGAGACGAAGTGAGCTTTTATCGGCGTTTGCAATCACTACATATTTTTACATCACAGGTCTTTATGAGACATCCTGAAAAAAAATCAAAGATCTACGAAACATCATTCAGCAATCCGGACTGAAACTCGAACATTGAGTGGCATCGTTCTTAAGCAATGCGTGTTGAAAATGAGAGGACTTTACTTCAGGGATTGCGAAAGTAAGAAAAATACAGAAAAAAAAACATAAGTGAAAGACACAATTACACTCAATATATTTCCAGGCAGGATAATCCGACGGGAAGTTCCCAGCAGCACTATCATGCAGATATCATAAACTAATCAAGGCTTTCAGTATATCCATCTTTATAAAACCAAGAACTGGATTCTATTTCGAAAAAAAAATCAAAGGAATCAAAGCCAGAATTTTCCCAAAAAAACATTACCTAACACAGTAGTGCTGCAAGAAGAAAGCAAACGAACATATAAGAAGCAGTCAGCAATATTTTCCATTGACTGCAAAATAACCAAATGAAGTATCAGTTGTGAAACTGATTTCACGAGAAGGAAATGGAAAGAGTGTTTGAGAATCACGTCTACAATAGTAGTTACCCGATAGAAGTCAAAATATACATACAAGGGTACTTCTGAAAAATTGAAATAAATTCTGAAAAATGTATTAATCGAAACACAGGTTGATTTTCTCTTCCGAAAGTTTTTCAAAATCAGAAATTCTTTTTATCCTTTGGGCAGGCAGTTCTGTTCTCCTGCTAGAACAAACAGTTCGAATAGCTCCCCAAGTTTCGTTCCAATATGCAAATAGTCAAGAAATCAGAAGGAACTGGTTTGCAGCCTATTCTGCTAAGTAAATTAGGCAAAATCCGATTAAAATGAAATCTATATTATCAATTGCAAAATGAAAAAAAAAAAAGAGGGCAGCTGTATTATTTCATACAAATTGAAGAAAATGAAGAATGAAAAAGGCAACAAGGAGATATATCCGTCCCATTTGAAATATAATAAATGATGAACAAAGAAGTTATGAAGAATGGTGGCTGCTTGGATGCTGTATTACGCAAAGTAATGACAAATCATTTTCAGGTTCGTCATGCATGAGAAGAACTGAGCTATAAATGTTAGCTGCTGAGTGACTGTATTTAAACATATCGAGTTCCTGAAAATGTACAAAAAGCATTATCCTTGTTTTTCATAAAGTTTTTGGTTTTCTTTGGAAGGACTTGACATATTTAAAACGCATTGTCCAGAAGGTCAAAATAATTGATCAGTACCATTATGAAAATATGACCCTGAAAGATACACTGCACAAAATTGCATTCCTATAGTTTTGCGACTTTCTCTTGCTTTGTTTTTAAAGCTAGTATATTTTAAAATGCTGGCTAACACAGAATTTAATTTTCTAGATGTTCTTTAAAAATACTCATGAATGAGTAACATTTCCGTCTTTTATTATAATTTATAAGAGATGTTACTACTGCTTCCAGCACACTCTATTCACGCAAAATATTTCGTTGTTTGGAATCGATCTATCATCATTCGTAATCCGGTCTTGAAGAAATATTTTCATTTGGTGCCAGGTGCCGGTATAGACATTAGTTATAATCTTTTAAAAAACTTGTAAACTAATAAAAAACCCTTTTATTATTATTCGTGCTGTTGTCGAGCTCGCTTGATTACTCGCTTTTCAAGAAAAGTATCCTTCAGATAATCTAGACCAAGAGTTGGGTATTTCTCCTCGGCCAGTATCTCGTCGAGCGCCAACCAACATTTCCGATTGAACAACATGGATTCATAAGTACTTTTGCTTTCGGGTAATAACTGTGATAAGAACCTGCAATAATATGCATAAGCTAATTAAATAAGCTTAATGAGATGAAAGAGATAAGGAAAAGTGCCCAGCCGATGCAGTGTTTCGTCCCAAAAGAAAATTTCCAAAAACTTGCTCAAAAACGGGTATTGCAATTGTATCCATGAATTCAAGCTGCAGTTTTGGGACGCATGCACGATCCCGGTCCATCATTTCCAGTGGACGATTTCCCATCTGCTTTTCTAGATCTCCTTGAGAGAAGAATTCCTTATAAATGTTTTCCTAAAAATGATAATATACGACTCGAGAACTGTAAATGTATCAATAGTAGAAATATTAAAACATAATCAACTAAAAGCATATGACCAGTAACATCAAGTATTCATTTATTCCCTGATTCTGCTTGAATTTATGGATATCCTAAAATTAAAATTACTGATAGTTCCTTTAAGTCAAAGTGAAGAGATATTTCAAAGAAGTCCTTTCAGAAATTCCGTAAACTTCAGCTATGTTTAAAGTCTCCAATGTAGAGACAAACTTACAGCTATTGCCTTGCTATTTCTGAAATCCTTTGTCTGATCAGACAGATCGGCTGAGGTCATCATAAGACATAGTAATAAATACCGATGGTGCTTTACTGAACTGTCAAAGCCAACTGAAACTTATGTCATTAAACTTTTGGGAATCCTATACTACAGTTAAATAAAGAACGGCTGTTTGCAGAAGATTGATATGGCAGTTTATAATTGGACGAACGAACTCTGCAGAAAGCGGATGAAGTGCCACTACCTTTTATTCTTGCTATGAGATTATCCGTAAAAATGCAAACATACTCACAGTACACTGCGTTGCAAACTTATTTCTGCTACGAGTACAAAAATGTAAGCCAGTAGCTTCTAGGACAACTTCGGTCAGTATCCTGCAGAGCCCATAATTTTGCTGAGTGAAGGTAAAACCAATTATGCTTTCAAAACTAAACCAAATGGCATTTCGAGTTCAAAAGATTATAATAATCTATATGTGAGGAGATCCAAATTCTTCGGACACGGATTTCTTACAAATCGAATTACTCACCCTCAACCATGCGATTAATATCTTGCACTTTCTGTAAATGATTAGCTATGTCGGTTGCGAGAATGACATCTCTTATGTGATCCAAGACCGAATGGAATTGCTTAAAAAAGAATGACGGTTTTTGATTCGGATCCTTAAACAAAGGAAACTCTTCCTACATCAGGACTTAATGCTTCATGTTAATTTGACGAGAAAAAAGACGCCCGAAACTAGAAAGAAATGTACGTTGATAAACCCATAAGCAGTTTTGAGCAATAAAGCTAATGGAGTCATATTTTTTATTCTGAATGTAATGAACTGATTTTACCAAAAGATCTCTAATTGATACCCTTACTTCAAGCTTTTGAAAAGTAATCCCATACTGAATACTACTTGTGGTTGTGCGGAGAAAAACATCAATCTAGAGATTAGACTATAGCGCATGAAAAAGGAAATCAAATCTGAGTTTTTGTTTTTTTTAAACCGACGATAAAAATATGTACACTTCAGAAATAAGGAACTTACGTGTCGATTTAATGAAACGAATATATTGCACTCTTCCATATTTAATATTGATATTGTTTGAGCAAAATGATGTCTCTCCAGCACCGAGCCTTCACTGCTATACAGCTGCGCTAGAGGTGTTCGCTATAATGAATTATCAATGAAAAAAAAAAAATTCTTTCAAAATTTCTTTATTATTAAAACTAGTTGGCGTATTTTCATCGTGAATTATAATTATTCCACTCTCTTGATGTGACCTTAAAACTAGATTTTAATTGACACTTTTTCTATTCTTTATTGTCCCTGACACAGAGACTCCACTGAGCCTTTGTTTGAGCAAAATGGATATCTCTCCAGCAATCGCAGCTTAGGCTATCACGCTGCATGCCATCAGTAAAATTAGGAACATAACTTTTACTCGAAAAGTTTCCCTTACCGCAACCACAAACTACTTTCTATTTCATGAACCTTGGAAAACAGTTTACGAGTAGCCATGACAAGCTAGCTATCTGATCACTACTTTATTCACATAATAATCTATAAATTTAAAAAACAGAAACCGACCGACTGCACTTGAAATGCATTGGTAGTACCCCGGTGATCGATATCATGACATAAACTTGCTACAAAGAGAGCAAAACTTTCCAGCTCATTGAGTGCATTGTGTGCCGTTTCAGTTCGTAGTAACAGATACGTAAAATGCGCAACCGCAAATGCGTGAGACCAATTGTGATAAGGCACATCACGGTAACCCTTTTGGACCATTAGTAAGAAACATGCCAATGTCCGCCGTTGTAAGCGAAATCGTTGCACGAAACCTAGATCCTGAAAACAAAGTTTTACATTTGATGAGGAGCATCACTGAACATAAATCAACCAGTACAGTTTTTATAAATCCAAATTATAAGAATAATTGTTTATACATAATCAGACTTGAATTGTTCGGAACTAAGATGAGAGCAAACTTTTTTTTCACGACAATTTTTCACAAATTTTCGCCAAGAATCTCAAAACTGCTTAAATCTTCGCAGACAAACCTTAAAAATGGATAATGCTGCTTCAACATAGGTATCGCCTGACCCTATGGAACGTGGTGGAAAATTAAAATGATCGAATTCTGGAGCAAAGGAGGTCGCTGCCGGTATATCACCTGCTGTTAATCGTAACAAATCTTCTGGTGCAATCTGAAAACAAAGTAGTAAAGTAACCTTAGATCCCAAGAAGTATGCAGTTTGTTATCATACTTTGCAAATAGTTTTGGAAAAGGAAAATAGTAACTACAGCAGTTATCGCGAAAATCAATTCCCTTTATTGTTTTGTTCGTCCAGTAATTATTGTCATACAGTATTACAAATCCCAACCACATTAAACTGCAATGCTACTACCCAAGATCACTCTCATATCCACTTTTTCGCACTCTTCTCTGACTGCTGTTTTCCTAGAATGGTTATGAAGGATTCTTACATAAAGAGATAATATTTTACATAACTGTATATATTACATGTATACAATAAGCAATAAATAATAGTTCTCATGAAATAACTAATAATGTAAAAGGACAAGAAAGCTTGAAGTATACCTCGAATCGGCAGAAGTCGGGAAAGTTTATTTTTTATTATTTCTATCACGTAAGCAAAGCCACTATGGACTATCAATAGTCATTTTGCATATCATCTCCATTGTTATTTACAGAGCATTTTGAACCCATCTTGTATCCGTTATACTACCAAAACTATTAGTATTGAAAGTATTACTACTGAACATAAGGACATAACTGTTGGACACATGAAAAAAGCAGCTGCTGAAGGAGGTCCACATTTCCAGCCATTAATTTTAATTAAACCGTAGACTAAAGATGAAACCATAGAAGCCGTCGATCAGCTGATGACATATTTGAGTTATGCTCGACTATATTTCATTTTTTTTTTTTATTTTTGCATCATCATAAGATTTTTACTTTCAGGCGTAATATTCCTTCTCTTTTCTAAAACAAAATATAAACTTTACCGACAGTGTGGAACCCTGTACTAGTAACTCAGCAGCCAAATGTGATCGTCGATGAGCCTCTTGCAGTTTTCGATAAAGAAGACACTGCAAAACAATAAATAAAAGATGAGGTGACATACACACAGTGTTCAACTGCACAAGAGTAAAACTGATGAATTTTATAAGCACCAAATAATTATTAGGCAAAGACTGCACAGTATATTGCACTCAGTACGCATTATTTGATATAATATACTGACCATCTTTGATTTGAACTCAGCAGAAACTGCATTTACAAGAACTGAACAAGAACAGAAGCTGCACTTACAAGTTCAGCAAAAACATTTTGGGCAAAGAGTAAGATTAAAATGATGAAGATGCAGGCGAACAAACCATGCACTGGATGTCTTTAAAAAATACCAGAAAAAAAACGAGAAGTTGAGTCAAATATGAATTGACACTTTTAGGAATTCCTACAAATGGAAGTAGAAATTAGAAAGGAAGTTCGAATTGAGAAATTATAACTCCGATTCTTCGCGTCCAATCATCAAAGCAACAAACGATGGATGTGCTTCTCGAAATAGTATTTCATTCATTTCAAAAATTGATTGAAAATGAAATCTTACATGTGATATACTGATAGCACAGTATACTGCAAATGTCATCGCAATTTGTTCATCGTGCTTCGTAAAAGCAGGCTTTCCAATCTTATTACATAACTCCGCCACACCAACAAGGTTTCCTGTGATTCTGCGGATGATAGCAACAAATTAGGGATTTTGTTAAAACTATACAGTTTAAATTATCGAATTTGCAAGAATAGACAAGATAAATTTAAAATTCATTTAGAACGCTAACAAAAACCTATCGAGAATATCAAATCTTTCAACCGAAAATCAAAAATAAAATGGTTGTACTGTTTTTACTAGTATAAGTAGTAAAATACTTGGAGAAATAATTTCCGGGTTCCTCAAAAAATTCCATGCATTAAAATTTAAACAGGTTTGAACAAATGTTTATTATTTTGAAGGAATAAATTCATAAAAATCTACATATACTCCTACCAGAACTATCCTTAATCGGGAAACATAATATATTCCGTGTAACGAAACCGGTTCGTTCATCCACTTTCGGATAGAAAGCTGGATGACTGAAATCAAAATCGCATCATAAGAACTTTTGAAAAATATTCTATGTAAATGCTTCATTTCTTAATTTATCATAATTATTCAGAGGTGAAACATATGACTTACTAAAATCAGAAAACCACCCCTCTACGAAGAGCGATGTTTTTCAGTGCAATCTATTGGTAAATAGATCTCAATCATTAAAAATGATGAATAATAAAGCTTTTACCTTCTTTTGGCTCTACCTCTTGAATGCCCAATCCAATGTGAACCCTAACTCTTGCTGAAGTTGGTACCTGTAAGCTTCCTTGACATTAATCATTTGTCCAGTGCTCGCAACATGTCCAACAATGCCCAGTGACAATGGCATTCTGATTTCCGTCAGATATTCATCACTTGAGCCATTTTTTTCGAATACTTCAGCAACCAATTCAGAGTTTTCACGATCAAGGAGAAACAAAGAACATCTGAAAAATAGAAAGTGACCATAGGAAAATGTGAGGAATAATAATAGATGAATAATCTTCAAGCAAAAAACAAAACTTTGAACCTACATTTCGGCATAAACAAGGGTTTTGGCTTCTTTCGTTATGTTTCTCACCAACAAGTTCATATCTTCTGAATAAAAGAAAAAAGTTTATGGAATACAAAGAACAAACAGCTAGGCCGTGAACAGATAAATTACCAAATACTGGCGACAACTAAACCAAGCACAACTTTCATGACAGCTAATTCGGAAGCAGTATAAGAAAAAATTCCTAAATATATTTTTTCAGTTGGAAAACAATTGAATGTGACTCATTTTCACTAAAAGAAAAAAGATATCAGTTCTCTTCCAGTAATCGAGCCAAATTGTTTTCCATCCCCGCAATGCTCTTGTATGCTCGTGAAGTCCTACGGTATTATGACTGCTCAAAAACTGAACCTGAATATGATAAATATCTCGTTTAAAAGATGAAAAATGAGACTTACGTAAACTCGAGAATACATTTTGCGTCATGGTAAGAAATATTTGGGACTGTTGAGCTAAACGTTTCTGCTCTTCAATATTGGCAACAATTGAGAGTAGTGCCGCAATTAGATGTAAATGAGGCATAACGAAACTGCGTTCTGATTCCACTGTACTAAAATTTCTCTTTCGGAAGTGGTAACTACAATAAAAACTACAAATATTTCCTCCTCAACCACGCAAAATTCTTCCCCACTACTACTTTCTCTTCCTCTTTTCTTTAACCTGGAATTCTTCTCAATAAAAAAAGATATCTCCAACACATACAACGAGATGCAAACTATCCAGACATATATGAGGGGGCCATATTCTTTCACTGTACGAAATTATTAATGCACACTAGAAAAACTGTTTCAATAAGCTCGTGATCACGACACAACCAAATTATTTATTGAGCTAACACAAAATTATTTAGTGAAATCCAATCGAGCTGATTTAGGAGTGAAATGGATATATTTCAAACTCGACATTTTTAAAACAAAAATTAGAATCGATAAACGATTAAAAATGTTACTGTAACCATACTATAAAAATAGCGGAGACTGTCCACATAAAATGACATTTGTATGATGAATAAAGGGACGAAAAATGGCCATTCAAATGATTTTCGAAAATATGAAAAAAGTGAAAACATACCACTCATTTTGATGTATTAACAGTAAACCAGCAACAAAATTACTCCGTGCCTGTAACAAAAAGACAGTACCATTGAAGGAATTCCTCGACAGATTTTCTCCGATACTACTCTTTTGTAGTATAGCATATATTCTTTCTTGAAATTCCTGCAACTTGGAAAATAGTTAATAAAGAGTTCCAGCGAGGTGATGTTGGTTAGGGCGCTCATTATAATACCAACAAAAACCAATACTTGTTGAAAAACAGTTTACATCCGAAGTGAAGCAACTGCTTCGGCAAATTATCGTCGTATGAAGCAATGTAAACTATCATCTGTTATTGCCAAAAGTCCATGACTAAGATGAAGATTTCTTCGACAAACGAAAAGGTTTGGTGGAGGGAAGAAACTTTGGAATAAAAAAACATCGAACAAAATATTGAGCTGAAGAAATAAATAAGAAAGCTAACGTCAACTAACGTCAACTACGACATTCTTAAAAGTGCGTCAAACATAGGATGTGAATTGAAAAATATGGGACAGGCGTAACATGGAAAAAAATTTTTCAGTTAATTCTATTAAATAAGATCTAAATATTTCAGAACTTCGTATGCTTCATCTTCTCTTGCAGTTCCGTACTGCTGAAAAATATAAAGTGCTTGTATATTATGAAACAATGCAAAATTATTCTTTAAGGGAAATTTCATTTCCGACAATATTTTTAACGGACAGGACAGTTTTCAGATATTTTTTTAGAGAATATATTTTGACCTTTAACGATGCTAGATCGAGTCCGACGAACGAGAACGGAATTCAAAGGGAAGTTAACGAGATGTAATATAGGGATAACAAGGAAATATATAAGGTGACCTTATGTGTAAAACGTGTCAAAGAGCAGACATCGACTTAGGACTGAGCCAGCTTAAATTCTATATAAGTACAGTTACATATTACAACTCTCCAACTTTGTTGTCTAAAAACTACAGAATGGATTTCGGCAGTTCATTAGCACCATAAAGTGAATGACCACCTATTATTATCGACTTTGAAAATTTGGATAAACTTCAATTCTTTGGGGGGCGCATTACTCGATAACCTTCCTTCCTTCACCCATTTCCCATTGCCAAATCTCGAGAAAAAAAATTTTTTTTCTTGTCTTGTCCCATGCAAAGAGAAACCACATGAAATGGAGTGGCGCAGCTACACGTTAATTATGTATGACTACATCTTGACACCTGCAAAATACTATGGGGAATGGCACCTCTTCTAATCCCCCACAAAAGAAAAAAGAAAAATCCTAAAGCGGTAAAAATGGCCATATTTTTAATTTTAATGGTTATTAAATTTAATGGATACGCAATAAATAACATTTTCGAGTATGATGAACTGCCATCAGATAGCAAAAATATGTAGAAATACCAGTTAAGACCATATGTGAACATGAAGGAACTCGCCATATAACTACCCAACGAGAACTGTGATTAAGCAGGTGGAATGAGAAAAAAAATTCAAGATTTTAGTAAAGAGATAATGCATATATAGAATGGATGAACACTGGAAATGTTAAGATATGGAATAGTACAACCAACCCATCGTTTTTCTCCGCAATATCCGATACTCTCATATAAAATGTTGTTTGTTCCAGGGCAAATGTAAGATGTGAGCAGTCGAGAAAACCACCCAGTAGTATTTCTTAACACTTCCACATTTATGAGTTTGAGTATATTTCAGCTTTGAAGGTATACTAATTTATTCATTACTGAACATTTCGTTGGACTAATCGATCTCTTTTTCGGTTGCACTTTCAAAACATTCTGACAAAAATCTATTAATAAAGCAATCAAAGCAGAAAAAGAACTTGCCTTACTCAACATGTCGATATCGATATAAATGTTGGGTGTATGAGAAGCATATGGTGGAGGTGACAAGTCCTTACTATTCAACGCAGTGCGATTAAATAGTGACCACAACACATCAGCACCACCCTTTAAACGCAAATTTGATAAAGTGGGTTTGCAAAATTACTTGATAACTAACATCGAATTATAAATGATAAGTTATAGCTAACTACTGCTGCTAATCATTATGAGTTCAAATAAATATGACTCAAAGCATCTACATATATCGTTATTTCCGAACAGCACTGACAAGAAACTATTCCTTGGTAATGCATTTTTCTACTGATGCTCATGTTATATCATCCCCAGCTGATCGCTGCTGCCAAATTCTATCGTTTTAGGCAAATTGCCTAATGACGCAAGGTCGAAAGCAAAAATAGTTCCAATCACTAGGACATTCCAAACCAACATATGATCTTCCATTTAAAAAAAAAAATAATCACTGTAAAAGTTAATAAAGCTTTGTGAAATTTCATTTTGGAGAATGAATGAAGAAGGTGAAAGCATAATCAGACAAAATCCGAATACACTTTCATTTGAATAGATAAGTTCCATAACCTTCAGAAATCAGTTTGCCGTTCAGCAGAAACGGACCATTTTCTTCCCGTCATTTTCAATCTCTCTCCTCCGCTCACTCTGTCCTAATCATTCTTATCGCTTAATTTCTTGTGAAATTTATACTCTAAATATGCTGTTTTGCAAAGTAAGTTAGGACATATGTCAGCCAGTTATGCTCGCTGTTCAACTATTCTTCTTACTGCAAAAACGAAGGAGTCAACCATTACTAAAGTTGAAAAGAACAGTTCTTCAGTTGCCGGATTTGAAATAACTAATATGTCTCAGAATTAGGGTCCTCTCAGGAAGTTTCACTCAGCCAATTTCATCATGAAAAAACATTCCTTCTGTAGAATTTCAGCCAACTTACTCTGCTCAAATCGCATCAATCTTAAGGAAGAAAATGAACTCTGGCTTTTGAAGCTATCACACACAGCAATCTCAATTCCGTTAATCTTCTCAACTAAGCATTGCAACCTCAACATCTAGAACTGCCATAAGGTATTTCAAGTAATTTCTATATGACCTATGAAAAATAAAAGTTATGAAGAGTAAAGTCGTAGGAAGAGCACAAGTCGTACGAAGAGTACGAACTGCAGCAAGGTGATGATTGTCGGATCTTCTAGAAATCTATTACCCGCATAAGAAAGCTTAGAAACTAAACATTTTCAGTAAATATCATTCAAAACTTACGCAGTAGACTGGTTCTTTCAACAATTGACTACCACAAACCTGAAATATACTAAAATTCAATTTTATATAAATAGAAATTATATTGGATTCTTCTAATAAAGAATTCGCTTCATTGTTCATGGAAAAGTGTGGAAATTCTTGAAAGAAAATTACAGGAATATGATATCCTCCTTATCAAACGTCCAAACGAGGAACTGCAGATACAGATACATTCACATCTCTTCCTACACACGAGTGCAAGCAGTGCTTATGAAAATTAAATTAACTCGACATGATTTGAGAAGACAACTTCAAAGATTAGTAAATCACATGCTTCTCAATTATTTTTAAATCCCAAGAAGCACCATATCGTTATTAAAGGACCTGCCCTTCTGCTCGATTTAATTTTGTTTAGTTGTCATGTGACTGGATGTAATACATTTCTGCTGATACATATTATCATACACAGTTTTCTCATGTCTAATGGATACAGAGAACAACACGCAGTCTATCAATATTTTTGACACCTCTTTTCATTTGAAGTATATCTCCATATGAGATGAGTGTATTTAAAGCATTACTGTGCATGATATATGCCGGATTTCACAATGTAAATACTCTGTTACGTGCCGTATTCATCAGTGTTGCAAAGACTTTTTTTAATCTATCTCAGAATGTCATCTGAGCACAACAAAGTAGGTCTTGCAAAAATTGTTCTGAGAAAGTGCATTTGATCCCAGTGAAAAAATACCATGGAGATATCTTCCAACTAGAAGCAATGAGTTAAAAACAAACCTACAGATACTACTCTAGGAAGATGATTGTACACAAGATAACGGAGCCTCCTTATTACAGTATATAAATTGATGTCAATCAATACTTCCTAGTAACATGAAAATATAACAGTTGATTCTAAGTCAACGGGAACCAGAGTAGATAGACATGAAAAACGTGATAGATGATACTCACAGTGGAAACAGTGTAAGCCATTTGAAAAGTATGTAAGCAGGTGAAGTCAGAAAGCTTCTCGATAATTTTGAAAAGAAAGACAAAGATTTACCTGACAAAAGCAGGAATTACATTCCTTTGAAACGAGCAGGAACGCTGCTGTTCGTGCACCTGTGTGGGCTGCAATCTGCAAATTTTTTTTTGATTTTTTTATGGAATCAGTGATTTCCGTGACTTTGCCAAAACATTATCTAGCTCAAAATAAAATGCCAAAACAGAACCAGTAGTACCTATCCCGAAAAATTTTCTCGAAATTTCTTCAACAAAATGAGATATGATTCAATAATGCTCTCGAGGGAGATTCTGATTATTTCTATAGTTCATCGACGAAATGGAGTTTTTTAAACATTTGTTAGCACAAATAGTAAAAACCACATCAACAGGAATTTCTTTTGCTGAGATCAAAGACGGACATTCATTAATTCATACATAGCTTTTTTGATATATGTGTGCAGTGTACATTGTATCGTCGTTAAAATGCGAATACATGGATCGTCACTCTTTATTGACTCTGTCTGACTCGAATACAACATTAAGCTATTATAATTCGTAAACTAAAGGAAGGTTACCAAGTTATGAAAACTGAAAAATGTCTTTAGTTTAAATCTACCTAATTTAATTCCATTTTATTTGATGTTCAAAATTCATGTTGATTGCAGAAAAAGGTATGATTGCCTTTCAATCTCCTTTTATCACTTATTATTTAACGCAAACTTTTCCTTGAAGGATCACTTAACATAATTTCTAAGAATATTATATTAATATTATTTATCAACATGTCTGAATCGTGACACTTGAGAAAAAAGCACTTGCAATAACTGTTAAGTTCATGGACTGCTTCTTCAATTTCGTTTGATGGAAAGCTATATCTTTTTATTCTCTTGTGACCTTTTCATCTCAGTTCACTTAAATTTTAAAACAATTTGAAAGTGCAATTTCGAATGCCTGCTTACCCACACAACCACTATCAAATGGAAAACACTCCTCAAAAAAACGCATGATTTAGAGTGCAAATTCCTTGTCTGGCGATTGGCAATAGAAAAGCAACTTCCTACTTATTTTTCGTTGATGAGAATTTTAGCCATCATCCGGAAGACTATAACGAAGCACACAAATTTATCATTCCAACAGCCATCCTGCAACTCTCACTATGTCTAACTTTTGGAAATAAGTTTAAAATATCCTTCAGCAATGCATTCCTTTGGGTACAAAGTGTTCCACAGCATTCTTCAAACGCTTTCTACGCGAAGATCAAGTGGAGCCAATATTGGAGGCAAGCACTTCATCTCCCTACCAGTTCGAACAATTTTTAGTTGACGTTCTATGGTAATTCTATACAGCTATGATATCGATGATTATTCTCGAAGATTTTCAGTTTTCAACTTGGCAACTAAAATCGACTTTTTTCAGTTTTCAATTTTAAAATCGACTTTTTGGGAAAAAAGACTTACCCATGAATTGAGTACTTGTTGGAAACGGATTATATCTGGATTCTCGGCAGCGATATCTGCAGTTACACGACTTAATTCATCAACAGCTTTACAACGTGCGTCACATGGTTGGATGTCAGCCAGCCCAAGTTCTGGCTGTGGCCCAGTTCCGATGCACAATTTAGAATCACTAGCCGAACGTGATAATGTTAGGCGTCGAACCCGAACGACGGTGACATCATAAGATGATGCCAACGTCATTTTCCTAGTTGGAATGTCGTTGACAGTAGCCGTAAAAGCACTTTTTGATTCATGCTGTTCAGTAATAGTCTCAGTGGTTGTTACCGTAACCGGTAATGGCGTAATGTGAGCGGTAGCACCAGAAGTCACAGGAGCATGATTGCGACAATCTAAGTACTCAAGCGTCTTCTGTCCGTTTGATTGCGCCAGAGATGACAGCGAAGACTCACAGATAGCACCAGCAAACAATGGTGCATTTTCACTTTCTAAGTCGTTCAACAGTTTCATGCAACTTAACGTTGGATGAAATGTTACCAGCTGTCTTAAAGTATAAACATTAAGGGGAAGAAAAGGTGTAAATAGAAAAGGGTGTGTTAACTGTAAACAACTGCCATTACAAACAAGTGGTTGAATCGTTCATGCACAATTTAAACAATTTTTAAAAACAGTTTCTGTCTGGTGCAGCTTAAGTGTAGACTTCCTGAAAATCAAGCGTAATGAACTCTACGAGTTTTTCATTCATGAAATGAATATATACGCGATGGCCTACTAGATATGCTTAATGTTGAAGAAATTCTGTAGTATAATTTGGACTTTGCCGAAATTCTCGATACATCCTACGAACTCCTCAAATTCACTCCAACACAGTTAAGCAGCTACCTCATTATTGTAATCGCTGTTTACATACAGCAGTTTTAGGAATTATGGAAATGTCATTTTTCCACATACCTTTTGTATAAAACGCCGATTTTAACAGGTAACGATAACGATGGAAAAAAACCATCATTTGAGCTGCAACCACAATTACTGCCATTGTTATCATTGTTATCATTACTGTCACCATCATCACACTGGCATGCTACATCTTTTACAGCTGTTGCTTGTTGTCGAGGTACAATAAGACGAAAAGCATGCAAGGTGGATGCGCAATTAGAGGAACAACTTTTGAATTGGTGCTGCTGTTGACATTCGGCTATGACAGGACTCGTTCCCGTAACTAAATTTGGGAAACTGGTATGATACAAAGCATGATGAATAAACTCGTGATGGTTATATCTAATTGCTATTAATACTAATAATACAAGATATTGAAAATTGTTATACATTGATACGTATAACACTGATACGAATGAAATCGATTGCCTTGTTGTCTGAAAACATCAGTTTTCTACAAAACGACGGGTGGATTATTTAAAAAAGAAGCCCGAAAAATAATTTTCTGGTGTCCTATCTTACTAACATTGGAATGAGATTCCGAATCCAACAATGATATCTCGACTACCTTTATCATTTGGGCGACGGTAAAGTCCTTAGAATTCATTTAGTTCCCACAATATTGGCATTTGCTTCCTTGATGTGTAATAAAGAAATTCAAGTGGTGCTTCATTTATGAGAAAGGTTCAAGCGAAAACTTTTCCATTGTACTACAGCACTTTCTTGATCGATTCCAGTGGGATGACAGAACTGTTAAAGGCCGAATTATTTAAGAGGAAATAACTATTGAAATATATATGATCCTTGATCAACAATAGTTTGCTTTAAAGCAATGGCTCCAGCACTATTCTATTCTGCAGTACATACAGAAACAAATGGTTTAGGAACGAACCAGTAATCAAGGAGCAACAAGCAAGTGCATTGCTCGTTCAGGAAGAAAGTTACGAGCCGAAACATTCCTCCCTGCTGCCCAATCTTTTACACATTAGCATTGCCGAACATAAGGCAGGAAGTAGAACGGATTTCAACAACAACAGTGAAAACACTATGAAATCGATAGCTTAAGAAAACCATTTGAACACTTCATAAATGCACAATGAATGGAATTACTCCGTTTCGATCAATCGCATAGGAATGAAAGATGAAGCTGAGGAATCAGCCGACTCTACAGAGAATGGAAATAGTGATACGATTTTTAAGTGGAAAATAGCGTGAGACAAAAATCTACACTATGTACCCCTTTTGATAATGTCAACAATATCGTATGGGAGACCCAGAAACCTCACATAAATTCAGAAAAAAAACTAATTGACCTTCCCCGATTTTCGGTAGTCTTCTTTTTAAATATTTCAAATCATCTAAAACTTTGAAATAAGAAAACAAAAAAGGACGAATAGGTACCTCTAGTAATCAATAAAGCGATAATCACGGGAAGTGCCCATCTTGTTGTTACATATATTTCAATGAACTAATGATAAAAGAATAAAAACTAATTTTCGTCAGTTCGAATTTTTCGCAAGTCTACAAATGGAAAAGAACGATCACGAGATAAACTTACAAACCAAAATAAAAACAGTACGCGAAGTCAATATTTATATTTCTTTTACTAAATACTGAAATAAAACAATA